GATCGTAAAGTGTTATGGTCCAGGTTAGGACCAAGGAAGAACAACACGAACACAAGAGTAGAAATAACGAAGGTATATTACACGAAATAATAATACAAGATGTGGAAGGTGTTAGTATGACTGTCAGTCTGGTTTGGAGTGAACTACTATCGGCTCGACTCGATTCGTTCCTTTCTCTTGAGCATAGTGTTAGGAAGAGTTAATTCTGTAGTTATAGGTAAGGACCCATGACATAAAGAAAACGTATAAATGGGAATTAGTGTGACGTCTAAGTGATCGCTTTTCTCTATACTATCCCCTATACTATTTATCTATACTGATCACTATACGAATTACTATTCGGCAATTACTATTTGATCAAGTATTATTAGTACGAGTATTATTTGAAGAGATTACTACTACCAATACCTGCGTTACAAAGTCTCGTCTACAACGAGAATTTCGGAATTGATAACGAGCATTCGTTGATCTAACAAAGTTCAACGAGTGAGCGTCTAACACCACTAAATCATGGTCATTTCGTCTGCAAGGAAGGTGATGGCCTTAGATTTTGGGGATGCAAGAAACATTGTGTTTATTGATTTACCTTAAAAAGGACCACACTATGGAGAGTGCTATACATATTTTCTGAGACAGTTACCAAAGGGTATCAAGACCAAACACCCAGGTAAACTGATGAAAGGTGTCTTGTTTCAATGTACATGGCTTCAATGTTTGATGTGCGTGACTGTGGCTTTGAACTAGTTGATCATCTTCCCTATTATTTTGATTTAACTATCATCTGTTCGCTAACTCGAAAAAATCACTTGTTTAGGCACCAGTATCGCAGTGATGATGATTTCATATATGCTGTTCATGACTTCTTTCACCAACAGGATGAACACACTTCATTCAACAATTAGATGTTAGTTTATATGGAAATAAAGAATGTAGTTATTAATAAGAAGAGTTGAAATTAATGCACACAAGATTTCACAGCTCTAGTATCGCTCCTTTATAGTCATTGCACATTTCGGTACAACATCGCACCCGGACACCCCCCCCAAAAAAAAAAAAAAACAAACAAAAAAAAAAAAAACACAAAGAAACAATGCGCTTATTTATAATTCAGCTGCCCATTTTTGCATCGTTGATAAACTGTGGAGAAATGGAAAGCAGCATGGATTGAGGAATCGTAGAGCCGAGTTCGAATTCCAGTCAAATCCATTACATTCACTTACGTGCTCATACGTTTGGGAAACGTATGAATCCTCTTCTCCCCCTCCATCTATGGGTAAATAGCAGGACAGACCGGGAAAAAATCTGCCTCGTCAGTCATGCATCGAAAGATACATGATCGCCTAAGCGTGTATCACGCACGGCACATAATGTTGACGGTATATGGCATGAGACCGATTTAAAGTATGGATCTCAAGCGCGTGAACATGTCCCAAGTCCAAAAATTGCCCTGGCCTGACCTTGAAATTACACTGACTCTCCCAATTTGATAAGTGCTGCTGCAGGGCTGAAAACCAGGGACTAGTTATCAGTCTTTTATTTATTGTGTTCTGTCCGAAGACAGAAATACGATTTTAAGATATAATGTAGTTTGTCTGTTCGAAGCCACAGATACTACACACTGATCCTTGAAGATGGGACAAAAGTGCTCTGATGCTAAGAAAGTGTATAATTTGGGAGAGAGTCGGTAAAACAGGGGGTTACATCTTTGACTGGAAAGTTTTCACTTAAATGTAATAATCACCTTTGTATTGCAATTGATTCTTGTCCTTACTCAATTCTCTTCAGGTGCAAATTTATATTCCCTTGAATACAGCAAATTGACCCCAGAGGAGTTCATTACTCAGAAAGGTAAAAATGTCTACTTGAAGAGAATTATGATGTTGCTGGAAAGACAACAGAAAACAGTAGAACGAAAAGATAAATTTGTCCTCCGTATGACGATAAACTACGTCCGGCAGCAAGGAGATTGGAGTTTTTGAGGACTCTGGAACCACGTCTTAACTGCTGTTGTTCCCAGGTCCCCTCTGATCCGGGGTGGTAGAACCTGTCAGGGTCCCAGCGATGGGTACATAGGGAACTTCAGAACAAAAATCAACGGTACATTTCATCGTAAAATGACCAAAAATACATTTTATATTCTACAGACTGTATATCTAAAAAGATTTTTACCATACAAGTATAAAATTATATACACAATATCTATAGTTAAAGTCATAGTATTCTGTTCAAAATATTTAGATCTTGGCATTAAATAACCCATAGCGGTATTGATATGCCGCTCAACAAATCAAAGTGAGGGAAGAATTAGTTTAGTAATGTCGAAAATAAACAAAAACTTCTATTTTTATTTAATTAACCGAACAAAACCTTTTCGTTATCAAATAATAAGATGGCGTAAAACTACTAACATTTTTTTTATAGTGAAAGTGTTTTATCTAAAAATAAAACAAGAAAGAATCCTAAAGCGGAAATATTAATCAGGAACAAGCAAATATATAAAACAAGAAAATAATTATGACAATGGCAAATCAGGGCTGGTTTTCTAGAGATAAACACACGCTAACAACTAGAGACAAGTAAAAAAAAAATAAGATGGCTTATGAGAAATAACTGTAGCTTCATCTTATTTCTATCCTATTTTCTTTCGTGGTAACATGATTTGCCATGGTACGTACAACATAAAAACTATTTCTAGCTGGTTTTCAAGGCAAACCAAAAACCGAAGGCAAACTTCAAATCTTTTTAATTTTGCTGTTAAAAACTTCATTCCATGCCTTTCACATTTCTTTTAGAACAATTTTTAATCGAAAATAAAAAAGACTTTTTAATCTATGGACACTACGAATTAGAGATGTCAACAAGCAACAGGTACAGACATTGAAATAGCACACCTTTCGTAAATTGCGGCGTAGAGGTCAACCTCAAGATTTTTAGCTCAAAATTATAAGGCCAATACCTACCATACAGATTGCGCCCTTAAACATACTGTAACCTACCAGTGGCCTAAAATGTAGACCTACAGGTAAATGAAGTTAGGCTACAGTATACAATAACCTGTGCCAAAAGTAGATAAGTTCACACCACTTCCCTGTGTATTGAGACACTAAACGTAATATCCTTTCATATGCGTTTGTATAGCAAAGACCCAACAACACACACCGGTAGGTATAACGTATATATTGTGTCGGTATAACTCAGCAAACATTTAAAATTCGTCAGCTCTACTGATAATTACATAAAAGTCATCATCAATTCCTATAAAATATTAATACCCTAGATTACACATCACACCAGGTAGTTTTTTGATTGTACTGCTACGTAACGAATGTTATTGTAAAACACAGTATCCGCCATTTGCATAAGTGATGTAAATAAAAAAAATACAGTAACTGTATTAGCGTTACTATTTTATTATTTTATATTAATTTCTGCGTTAATATACTAAATATGTTCACCAAATGAGACTTTTAGTGGGATCTATTTTTGGCAGCTTGCTGGAGCTACAGTAAGTTGTGGACAATAATCGACCGCCAAAAAGACGATAGGCTACCAGTGGTCCAAAACTTAGGCCAACCAGTAAATGAAGTTAGGCTAGAGTATACGATATCCTGTGACAAAACTGAAGTTGCACCGCTTACAAGTATATTGAATCAATAATCGTAGTTCTATATGTATTGTATACCAGGCACGGTGGAGTAATGGATAGCGGCTTGGATTGAGGAATTCGAATTCCAGTCGAATCCATTACATTCACTTACGTGCTAACACCATCGGGAAAGGTGTGAATCTCTTTCTTCTCCCTATGGGTAAATAGCAAGACAGACTGGGTTCTATAGCCTTGGATGGCAACTGGTCTAGAAGGAGGAAAACTCTGAATTCAAACCAGCTCTTAGAGGAGGGTGAATGGAGTTTCTCTGAGCCTTGGTTGGCAATCCATTTAGTCAATCCTTGATAGCCCTATCGAAGCATCAAGAATTCAGCTATTTGACAAGATTATGAACTACACCAATGGTGAGTTCAATCTCGGCTGAGGCCGCAAGATGAGATAACGCATATTGTATCGGTATAAGCGAACATTTCAAGGTCAGCTCTACAGATGAACACATAAAAGTCAACATTAATCCTATAAAATGTTAATACCATAGATTAGACATCACACGAGGTGGTGTTTTGATTGTATTGCTACGTATCGTATCTTATTGTAAAACACAATATCAATCATCCGCCATTTGCATCAGTGATGTAAACAAGCAACCTCATGCAATGAAGTGTAAAACTGTGGGCTCATTACTTTATATTAATTTCCGCGTTAATATGTCAATTATTTTCGCCAAACAAGTTTTTTGTTGGGGTATATTTGTGGCAGCCTGCTGAAGGTACGGTAAATGTTGTTCAGTAAGTGTTACAATTCGGCGGTAAAGGTTTGCTTTTTATCCTCACTATATAAGTCGATTACTAACTTTAGAAATATTTTTTTTAGGCTTGAAAACTCCACTTGCATACCGTAATTTAGGGTATGTATCTGTGAGGGTGGCTTAACAGATATCGAAACAGAAAACGAGCCTGGTTCTAATTTCAGGCTTAGTCCCTTTTCGCAAAAATACTCTTGGAAAAGTAAGGAAGTTTTCTCTGCTCTCCCATCCGCAAATAGCAAGGTAGAATGCATCCTCTAGCCTTGGTTGGCAACCGCTCTAAGAGAAGGACTGAATTCAAAACCGTACAGAATACAATATACAATTCAAACCAGCTGCGAAGATGCGCTGTTGTTAAAATATTTCCTCAGATCATGTACATTTGACTGTGGCGCATGTGCTTGGTGTAGAGTTATTAGACTGAGTGTCATGATGGGTACAATGGGCATCGTACATTTGTATTGTAGCGTCACTTTTTTATGTGCTGCTTTCTCGATCAATAATAATAATAATAATAATTAAAATACAAAAAATGTAACAAGTTAACACTTACAAAATCGTACAGTAAGATATTCAAGCTTACAAATTATGCTCGGAACATATCTTAGCATTTGGATTATAGCAAGAACCGGTTGCGCAGCCTTGGTGTAAATTAGTACATGGTCGGGAGAGGGGGTGCATTACTGTACATGCAGGAAGGAGTCTTGTCTATTATGTCAACGACAATGACGGCAACGTGTATTTTTATTGTCTATTGTTATGAATTTTTCTTTATCTCGCTATTCGTTTTGTTCTTTCGTTCTTTATTTTATTCTTCCGTTCCTTCATTCGTTCTTTCGGATTGTCTTTCTTTCTTTCTTTCTTTTGTTCTTTCGCTAATTCGTTCATTCTTTAGTTCTTTCATTCTCTCGTTCTTTCTTTCTTTCTTTCTTGTGTTCTTTCACTAATTCGTTCATTCTTTAATTTCATTCTCTCGTTCTTTTTTCTTTCTTTCTTTCTTTCTTTTTGTTCTTTCGCTAATTCGTTCATTCTTTAGTTCTTTCATTCTCTCGTTCTTTCTTTCTTTCTTTCTTTCTTTCTTTTGTTCTTTCGCTAATTCGTTCATTCTTTAGTTCTTTCATTCTCTCGTTCTTTCTTTCTTTTCTTTTTTTGTTCTTTCTTTAATTCGTTCATTCTTTAGTTCTTTCATTCTCTCTCGTTCTTTCTTTCTTTCTTTCTTTCTTTCTTTCTTTCTTTTGTTCTTTCGCTAATTCGTTCATTCTTTAGTTCTTTCATTCTCTCGTTCTTTCTTTCTTTCTTTCTTTCTTTCTTTTGTTCTTTCGCTAATTCGTTCATTCTTTAGTTCTTTCATTCTCTCGTTCTTTCTTTCTTTCTTTCTTTCTTTCTTTCTTTTGTTCTTTTTCGCTAATTGTTCATTCTTTTAGTTCTTTCATTTCTCGTTCTTTTCTTTCTTTCTTTCTTTCTTTTTTTTGTTTTTTCGCTAATTCGTTCATTCTTTAGTTCTTTCATTCTCGTTCTTTTTTTTCTTTCTTTCTTTCTTTTGTTCTTTCGCTAATTCGTTCATTCTTTAGTTCTTTCATTCTCGTTCTTTCTTTCTTTCTTTTTTCTTTCTTTTGTTCTTTCCTTAATTGTTCATTCTTTAGTTCTTTCATTCTCTCGTTCTTTTCTTTCTTTCTTTCTTTCTTTCTTTTCTTTTGTTCTTTCCTTAATTCGTTCATTCTTTAGTTTTTCATTCTCTCGTTCTTTTCTTTTTTTTCTTTCTTTCTTTCTTTCTTTTCTTTTTCTTTCTTTTCTTTCTTTTGTTCTTTCGCTAATTCGTTCATTCTTTAGTTCTTTCATTCTCTCGTTCTTTCTTTCTTTCTTTCTTTCTTTTTCTTGTTTTCTTTCTTTCTTTCTTTTGTTCTTTCGCTAATTCGTTCATTCTTTAGTTCTTTCATTCTCTCGTTCTTTCTTTCTTTCTTTCTTTCTTTCTTTCTTTCTTTCTTTCTTTCTTTTGTTCTTTCGCTAATTCGTTCATTCTTTAGTTCTTTCATTCTCTCGTTCTTTCTTTCTTTCTTTCTTTTGTTCTTTCGCTAATTCGTTCATTCTTTTGTTCTTTCATTCTCGTTCTTTTCTTTCTTTTTTCTTTCTTTCTTTCTTTGTTCTTCCTTAATTCGTTCATTCTTTAGTTCTTTCATTCTCTCGTTCTTTTCTTTTCTTTCTTTTTTTTTTGTTCTTTTTAATTCGTTCATTCTTTTAGTTCTTTCATTCTCTCGTTCTTTTCTTTCTTTCTTTCTTTCTTTCTTTTGTTCTTTTAATTCGTTCATTCTTTAGTTCTTTCATTCTCTCGTTCTTTTTCTTTCTTTTTGTTCTTTCGCTAATTGTTCATTCTTTTAGTTCTTTCATTCTCTCGTTCTTTCTTTTTTTCTTTCTTTCTTTTCTTTTTGTTCTTTCGCTAATTCGTTCATTCTTTAGTTCTTTCATTCTCTCGTTCTTTCTTTCTTTCTTTCTTTTTGTTCTTTTCGCTAATTCGTTCATTTTAGTAGTTTTCATTTTCGTTCTTTCTTTCTTTCTTTCTTTTGTTCTTTCGCTAATTCGTTCATTCTTAGTTCTTTCATTCTCTCGTTCTTTTCTTTCTTTCTTTTTTTCTTTTTTTGTTCTTTTTCGCTAATTCGTTCATTCTTTAGTTCTTTCATTCTCCTCGTTTTTCTTTCTTTCTTTCATTCTTTTGTTCTTTCGCTAATTCGTTCATTCTTTTTAGTTCTTTTCATTCTTCGTTCTTTTTCTTTCTTTCTTTCTTTCTTTCTTTTGTTTTTTCGCTAATTCGTTCATTCTTTAGTTCTTTTTCATTCGTTCGTTCTTTCTTTTCTTTCTTTCTTTTTTCTTTGTTCTTTCGCTAATTCGTTCATTCTTTAGTTCTTTCATTCTCTCGTTCTTTCTTTCTTTCTTTCTTTCTTTCTTTCTTTCTTTTTGTTCTTTCGCTAATTGTTCATTCTTTAGTTCTTTCGCTCGTGTTCTTCGTTCGTTCCTTCATTCTTTCTCTGTCGTTCTGTCGTTCGCGTTTTCATTTTTTTCGTTCGTCTATTCTTTTCTTTTGTTCTTTTAAATTCTTTAGTTCTTTCTGCTCGTGTTCTTCGTTCTTTCGTTCGTTCCTTCATTCTTTCTCTCTGTCGTTCTGTCGTTCGCGTTTTCATTTGATCTTTTCGTTCGTCTATTCTTTCTTTTGTTCTTTCGCTAATTCATTCATTCTTTAGTTCTTTTTCTGCTCGTGTTCTTCGTTCTTTCGTTAGTTCCTTCATTCTTTCTCTGTCGTTCTGTCGTTCGCGTTTTCATTTGATCTTTCGTTCGTCTATTCTTTCTTTTGTTCTTTCGCTAATTCGTTCATTCTTTAGTTCTTTCGCTCGTGTTCTTCGTTCTTTCGTTCGTTCCTTCATTCTTTCTCTCTGTCGTTCTGTCGTTCGCGTTTTCATTTGATCTTTCGTTCGTCTATTCTTTCTTTTGTTCTTTCGCTAATTCATTCATTCTTTAGTTCTTTCGCTCATGTTCTTCGTTCTTTCGTTAGTTCCTTCATTCTTTCTCTCTGTCGTTCTGTCGTTCGCGTTTTCATTTGATCTTTCGTTCGTCTATTCTTTCTTTTGTCCTTTCGCTTATTCTTTCATTCTTTAGTTCTTTCTTTCTTTCTTTCTTTCTTTCTTTCTTTCTGTTTGTTTTTCCGTATGCTCGTTCATCTTTTTCTTATTCGTTCTTTTTTGTTTTTCATTCTTTCGTTCTTTCTTTTGTTTTCCCATTCTTTCTTTCGTTCGTTCGTTCGTTCTTTTATTCTTTTGTGTGTTCTTTCGTTCGTTTTTTTCCCTCGTTGTTTCCTTCTTTTTCTTTCTTTCGTTGTTTCCTTCTTTTTTCTTTCTTTCAGTCCTTTCGTTCGTTCTTTCTCTGTTAACTCATCCCTAATGCAATTTTTAATTTTCCCGATCTTAAAATGGCCGTTGAAATTAAATACCCGACTTTCGTAACACTGCCCTCTTGGTAATTCTGAACACTCTGTGGTAGCCATTGATATTTCGTTCCAATCTTCTATTAAAGAGGAATCCCCTATCCGTAAGACCTCTTTCCGTTACAAGCATGCTGATTGCCACTCACACTGTGATTTTCTCCGTGGCGCCCCTTGGACTGTCATTTTTAAACTTCCATTTGAAAATTGCGCCACTGAAGTTTCTTCTTGGGTCAAAACAGGCGGTGACGCTTTCATTCTTTCTCGGAAATATCAAGTGAAACTTCAATCCTCTCCGTGATTCACAGCTGCATGCTCGACTGCTATAGCACACAGGAACCACTATTTTCGGCTATACTAACGTATAGCCTATTCGTTGCAGTTCGCAATAAATGTAAGCGAGTTTTTGAAGGAGCAAAATCCCTGTTTGCTGAGAGAATGAGGTACCACATTGTTAGAGGCTATGTGGTACCTCATTCACGTTTCTCGTGATTACAGGCGGCACTGTAATCCGGCATTAAATAAATGTAAGGTTTCTATTCTTCCCTCTTCAATCAATGAGGTGTTATTCTGAAAAAACTGAATGCTTTGCCTGTGAATTCTTCTCAAGCTCTACTCTTGATTTAACCGGAATAACCATGCCTAGCTTTACTCCAAGAACTGAGTCTCTGTTGAGTGATATGCATATAGCCCCTTCCATGGTCTTTGCTATCATCTCTAACCTAGATCCCTACAAAGCATGTAGAGCCCATGGTATCTTTGTCATTAAGAAATGCGTTTCAGAACTGGCTCCTGTTCTCTCTAAACTGTATGATAAATAACTCGCTGCTCCCCTGCTGGAAGTCTGTTGTTCCAGTTTTTAAGAACTCTGGTCAGCCGTTCGATCCTTCCAACTATTGGCCCATTAGCCTTCTACCTCTTTTTAGGAAACTCCTAGAGGCTCTAATCAACGCTGAATTTGTTCATCATCTTTTATCGCATGGACTTTTCTGAGACAAGCAATATGGCTTTCGTTTCTCCTGGTCTATTGATGTATTGACAATACTTGCGGAAAGGATTCATCATGCCCTTGAAAAAAAAAAAAAAAAAAAAAAAAACAAAAAAAAACGGTGAAGCACTGGACATCTCAAAAGCCTTTGACAGAGTCTGGCATTGAGATCTTCTCCACGGATACTTTTTTGAACTGTTCCAGTTTTTTTTTTTTTTTAACAAATCGTGAAATGAGAGTTATCTTGAACGGCCACTCCTCTAGATCCTTTCGCGCTAATGCAGTTGTTCCCCACAGCTCCATCCTTGGTCCTATTCTATTTGTAATTTTCATTAAGGACATTCCCGGTGACATCAAATCTCAACTTGGTAACTACGCTGATGGCACAACAGCCTCGATAGTAAAGCTTATCAGTCTGACAAGGTCAAAATAGCAGTTGATGTCCAAAACGACCTCAAGTCCGTAGCGAATTGGGGCAAAAGATGACTTGTTAATTATAAAGCCTCTAAGACTAAACTTCCATCTGAGAGACCCCTTGCTGCCTTACATCAGTCATGGCTGATGCTATCCTCCAGGAAAGTTATTCTTTGCACCATCTCGAGCTCACGTTCTTTGCTGATATGAAGTGGAAAAGAATATATTGAATTCATTGCTAGGCCAGCTGTTAAGAAAGTTGGTTGACTATATCCGGCAAGACAATTTCTCTCTCCAGCGTCTATCTTACATATCTATAAACCTGCCATTCGTCCATGCTTGAAATATTGCTGCCACATATGATCCGGTGACGTTGAGATTTACCTTGAGCTCCGTGATAAGATCCAAAAAAGAATCTGCAATATTATTAGTCCTTATCTGGCGGCTCAGCTCCAGTCCCTTGCCCACCGCTGTAAGGTTGCCTCGCTATGTCTTTTCTATAAATACTTCCATGGTAAGTGTTTGAATGATCTCTTCGCTATGGTTTGTTTATGAATCTAATACAGTACTAGATTGGCAACAAGTTCTCATGTTTTTTTTTTGGTTATGATACCTAGACGTTATGAATTTAAAAGCAGTACTACACCGGTAACGAGATCTCATCAATTTACAGTTGAGCTGACGATATGTAGCCGAAAATTCTATGCCAACAGTTTCTTCTCTCGCAATTCTTGCTTATGGAATTCCTTGATGGCTCCATGATTCCCAGCCAGCTTTAATCTGCAAAAATTTAAATGCAATGTCAATCGCTATCTACTGTCCACCTGATTACTCTCTTCTCTTTCTGCTCATCATTATTGTTTTTGCTCCTAATTCTCCCACACCCTGTAATCCCTTATGTTTTAGTGTCTTTACTGATTTTCTTGGGGTGATTCCGATTAAAAAAAGGCAATGAACGACATTACACGAAAAAAAAAAAAAAAAAACATAGTGAAAGATCCCGAAAGACTGCTTTGTTTTGAAATAGGAATGAGACGCTAAGTTAAATTTTAAAAGATGAGTAAAAGCGTCTCTGGAAGGCACTGAGAACAAAGGGCTTGATACTTTCCGGACATGTCTCGTATCATATTGCATCAGTGCGCATGCGTATGTATGTCTAGTAAGACGCAAAATTAGCATCGCATAAACATAATCTAAATGATGGTTGGCAAAGAAGCCCGCAAGCAAAGTTATATCTCAACCATGAAGAATTAATACTTATAAACGAGGACTGTGGAAAATATTACTGCCGACGCGAATGTAAAAAAACAAAACAAAAAAAAAAAACTGTAATTGGCTGCGAGATATTCGACGCCATTATTTGCTGTTACCATCGTTGATTAGGGGGATAATTATAAATGAAGAGAGATACCTGTACTAACATCAGGTGAGAGAGCATTATATCTTGACTGAAGTGATTATTAGTCAGAGAAAAGAGCAGAAAAATAAAACCATTTTGAAGAATTTCAGATATTTAGAAGCTTGCTTATTTGGTTGGTTATTTCTTTTTAGCGGCATATCAACCTCTATAGGTTATTTAATGCCGAAATTGAAATTTTTTGTACGCATTTTTTTTTTTTTTTTTTTTATAATAATGGTTTTAGTCTCATAAGTTGCGGGAGAGGTGGATTCATACTTTCCCAAACGTATTTGCATCTAAGTGAATATAACGAATCCAACAGGAATAGGAACTCTGCTCTCCGATTAACAATTCCGAGCCATTATATATTACACCACCCGCACATCCAAGATTACGGCATGATATTATTACGACATGATATTACCATACGGTCACTAATGTAGGTACAGACCAGGCTCGACGTTGCTTAACTTCGGTGATGCTACTATAATCGGTGTTTCAACTTGAGATGGCCATAAGCCGTTGGTTAGTTAATATATATATTATAAAAGTATATATATATATATATATATATATATGAATCATTCATACAAAAACAGATATAGAATTTAATGATTTAAATGCCGCGTATACAACTTCGCAAACAAATTTAAAAATAATAAGCTTGTAAAAAACTAAAAAAGACCTTACGCAACTGGAATTTATAAACAGTGATCATAACATTCATCTACAGGTTCGGGGTTAATGTACTTTATTAAATTTGTTTGCGCAGGTGTATTCTCGCCATTTATATCTTTAACTTAATATCTGTTTTTTGTATGAATGATTCATGTAATGTAAATTGAACTGCACCATATACTTGATATTAAAATAACTGATCCGACGTGCAACTTTCGGATAATAACTGTGACATTCCTGTATATATTGAACAATTTAGTTTACGCCACATTGACTGAAAAAACTACCAGTACAAAAGAATTCTTCTATTATCATATTAGTACAAAAATGCACAATCTTGAAATTTAAAAATTCAACCTCAGCGTTGTGACCGCACGCTCCAAAAAAATTAACAAATTTCTAAAAACATTTTTTCGGATTACATCAATATTTTCGTTGTTCTGTTATTACCGAGAAGTAAAAAACAAAAACAAATCTATTTCCATACCTGATGATGTCTGTAGGAACAGACGAAACCTTGTAAAAAAACTAAAAAAGACCTTATGCAACTGGAATTTATAAACAGGGATCATATCATTCATATACAGGTTCGGAGTTAATGTACTTTATTAAATTTGTTTGCGAAGATGTATTCTCGCCATTTATATCATTAACTTCTATATGTGTTTTTTGTATGAATGATTCATGTAATGTAAATTGAACTGCACCATATACTTGATATTAATATATATATATATATATATATATATATATATATATATATATATAGAGAGAGAGAGAGAGAGAGAAAGAGAGAAATAGATAAATTAAAGAAGACAGAATATGAAAATTGACGTTGCATTTAAATTTTTGAAGAACGTGGACTGGAATAATGGCAGGAAAGAAAAAAAACTACCCCCACCCCCCCAAAAAAAACGGATGAGGGTTTCACAAGCGAGAAAAGAAAATACCAGAACAGAACAGAACGGTTGCATGGAGCTAGTTCAATAGTAAAACGGTGAGACCTAGTTGCCAATCTAGTAGAATGCTTCAATTCATGCTGTCGAGATTCCAAGAAGGAGAGTCCATAAAAAATATTTATAGAAAAAAATCAAGGGAAATCTCGTCATGGTAGTGTGAAAATGCCTGAAATCGTGATGCCAGGTCAGGACCAACAATATTGCAGTCCTTTCTTTGGATTTTGTCGAGAACCTCGAGATATATATCAGGAACACCAGACTAGATATGGCAGCAATATTCAATGAACGGACTAAACGTAGATTGATAAGTGTGCAAGATGGATTCCGATAAGAAAAATTGTCTGGCACGACACAGTGAACAATCGTTCTTAGCAGCAGACCTAGCAACCGATTTAATAAAATCACCCCCACTTCATGTCAGTAGAAAACGTGGGACCAAGAAGGTGCCAGTCTTGGGTATGACTATAAACTACATCCGCGTCCTGGTTAAGAAGATAAAATACGTCCAACATCAAAACCTCT